TGTTTGTAAGGCTTTCCTTGTTTCGTTACGAATCAAACGATACTAGATGAGTCATCACTCAGGACACTGATCCAGATACAGGCGGTGACAGGTGATGTGTGAGCTTTGGTCAACGACCTGACCAACCTACCTTGGTCTACTAGGAGGGGATTTGGCGGGCAAAAGTATGACTCATCAGGTATCGTTCGATTCATAACAAAACGAGGAAAGTCTGATAAACACCCCCCCCCCTCCCCCACACTCTAATTGTTCTGTATCAAAAACGCATTAGTTGCATTAGACTACAGTGCTTAGTATTTCACCAACTTATTATTGTATTATTTTACTCATTAACAGATTTTCTCCGAGGATAATTCCAACAATCCACCAACCACCCTAGGGCCCTGGGGGCAAGCCTCCAGCGAGCCAAAGGCGAGTAATATATATACAATTTAAGTTTACATGTACCGGTATCTCAACTAATTTCAGCAATAAAAACGTGGGAAATTGGTTTGCAATATAGGCCTAATTTAATTACCCGTCGAAAGTTGTCTTATCTATTTGGAGTGGGCGGTATGTTAATGATAAGGGTGAGTTTTGATAATTTACCACCACTTTTATTTCCTCACATTTTTTTATTTAAATGTGGTTAACGTCGCGCGTATATCCTTATCGTTTATTAGGCCTATGTTTGTGATATGGTTTTAATAGTGAGGTCACTTTTCAATTTAACAGACTGTACGGGACAGCACTGTGGAGGAGAAGTGGGGATGTCGAATTTCTCACTAGCCGTTAACTGGTGTTAGCTGTCTTCTCGTTGGTTAGGCACTTATTGCTAGTTTGCTACGCCGTCAGAAGTTCAGGTTAAGTGAAGAGAGTAACATGGTTGATGAGAAGAATAACATCGTTGATTAAACAGCATCATCGACTATGGTACATTTAAAGTTATTCTGTAGTCATTAATGTTTTCTATCAAGGGAGTTTTCGTCACATTATGGAGATATAGATTGACTGGTGGACTAATTACATGTAGTTCTTATTTAGGTATGTCTGGGTGGTGGGTCGTGCTTTATGTGAATTTGTGCCTGCATTTGAAGTGTTTTGAAGTTAGGTGAGATTAGGAAGGTAAAGTTTAGGTTAGCCTATAATGAATCGAGTTGTTATTATATGTCGCCTGCATACTGTTTTTGTAAAATTAAAATTCTGAGAAAAACACTTCAAATTACTAGTCTATTTCAAAAATGTTTGCTTACTGACCACAGTTCATTCCACTTGAAAATGTCCTAAGTTTACCTTGTTTATTGTAATGTTGTATGTGTTTACGATATTCATCAGCGGTGAAAAATAATGGTATATTTGGATTCAGGAGGTAAAAAACATCAGTTATAAACTTACATTGAAATTTAAAAATTCGTTTGGAGGCACCTATACTAAATAACTACCTACCAGTTATAAATTATTGTTTAACTTATGTAGTTTATTTAGGGGTTAGGCCTATTGTATGCATTGAAGTGTAGTTACTGCAGTGGAAAATAGTCACCTTAAAATGTATAATTAACAAACTAGTAATTCAACAAAAAAATACAATAATTTTATCTCATGAAAGTTACTTCGTTTATAACCTTCAATAACGACCTTCATAACCTAGCCCTATGGTTAATCAAACTTAGTTTTATGAAATAGGTAGGCCTATATCTTTGCTTACCAGCTCTGAGAAAAAAATGCAGGTGTAAGATGCACTTGTAAATTCCGAGATAGTTTAACAAAATCTTTTCGAATAAGACTTCTAACAACTACGTTCCTCCACATTGTCACAACAAAATATCCATACAAGTTTCAATCAACTAAACTACACTCCCACTCCCCTCGCTCGACTCGACAGCAGAAAGAGGTGGTCAATCATCGTCTGCTCGGGTCAAGAAGATTGTGATACAGGTTGACCAAGGCTGCTACGTAGGTCCTACCACTAAATTTCCCTTTAACCCTTTATGCTCAATCAAAAATAGATAGTGCACAGGGATACCTCAGTGTAGTCAGTGTCTTGCTTTCAATCCGATTTTTTCGTTAATTAATATCCTTTCATGGGGAAAATAACAAAAGTTACGATAACTTTTGACCGTAATTTTTACAGATACGGATTTAATGGGTTTTATGGAAAAATTCCCATTATTTCAAAAAATGAAAAAAAAACTCCTGGAGACACCAGCAAAACCTAGATACAAAATTTAATAATTTAACAGGTGTGGTCTGTAGTTCTGTATCCACACATACGGACAAACTCCAAGGCCCCACTAGAGCATACTCAGACAGAAATCACTTCGAAAACCACTTTTTTGGGGTTCAGGGAGACCCTAAACGGTAATATCCACCCAAAAATCAAACTCGAAAATTTTTAGGAAAATAATAAGTTCTTTACAATTATGGTATAGAGGGAGAAAGTAAAAAATGTGCTTAAGATTTAAGACCTGGGCGAAAGGTCTACCTACAGAGAAGTAATATAAATAAATAAAAAAATAAATATAAAAAATAAATATAATTTATATTACTTCTCTGTGGTCTACCACAGACTAACCAACACAATGGCATAGTTTTGATCTGTGTTATGCTGAATACCGAAAGATATCATAGATTGAACTTTTCTAATTTCAGTACATAATGGTGAAAAAATTAATATAGCTTATTCAATGTCTGAGTATCTAATCTGAGCTTTTTCTTTTAGTGCAGTAAAAATAAGATAAAAATTCCATAAACCTAAAAAAAATTAGCACAACCGGGGAATTTGGTACAGATGTTGGGTGTACCTTCCTTTTGAACATACTAAAAGTCCCCTAAAATTGAAGCTGTGCTACGGCCGCCATATTGGAAAATGGCGGCATATTTCTGTATTTTTCGCTATAGTGACTTTATTATTAGAGATACAGGAAAAAGCTAAATATACAAAATGTAGGTCATCTAAAAATACGCATTTTTTGTATTTACCATCTTTCTCTAAACCCAACGGTTTTTGAGTTATTTGTTATTAAGTATAGATAGTTTTTTCTATTTATCAAAAATAGGTGAAACACATGGAAACTGTCCGTTACTTTCAAGGATTATGATAATTTATCCTATTTAGTTAAATAGTGTGATACGATAAAATCTTAAAACTTAAGCTTATTTTATGAGTAAAACAACTCTGCCACAGCAAACCTGAAGACTCAGCAAATTTCCTTTTGATTGGATGTTTTATTAATTGTATTTAAATAAAATCAGATTCAACAGGTACCTAGGTTTGCTGCTACAGGTAGGTTATTAAGTGTGTTTTTTTTTAGTAAAATATCAATAACTTAGTATAAAATAATTAATTTTCCAAGTTTGATCATAATAAATCTATAAACAAACAAACTGCAACAGTTAACTAATTCATAATAATAGCATGGTAGCTTAAGATTTACAATTTACAAATTTAAATATACAAATTTTGGTTGTGTTTACTAAAAATATGGCTATTATTCGTCACGATTCGAATACTAACCGAAGGGGTTTTTCAAAAGGAGATGAAGCAAGTAATTTAAGTACTGTAATATTAACTCGTACCAAGTATCGGAAATATTGTATGGAGTGAGGATATCAACCATATTTTGTAAACTACGCAATAGTCATATTAATATTTTATACTCATTTGTACCCATTTAATAAATTAACATTTTAATATTTTGATGGCACTACCACTATCACTCTGATATCAACTAAGTGGGATGAATAATTGTCGTAAACCTTGAAAGTAACCGTCGATTGCGATGGGTTTCACCGATTTTTGATAAATAAAACTAACTATACCATGCTTATTTAGTCACCAACATGAACTAGACACGAAAAACACCCTTCCAAATTTACAATGGGATGTCAAGTATAGTTAGTTAGTGTGGTGGTGCCATCAAAATACTAAAATGTTAACTATTAAATGGATAAAAAATAAGGTAAAATATTAATATGACTATTGCGTACTTTACAAAATATGGTAGATTACCTTACTGCATACAATATTTTCGGTGCTTGGTACGAATTAATATTACTTAAATAACAGGCTCCATCTCCTTTTGAAAACCCATTTGGTTAATATTCTAATCGTGACGAATAATCGCCATCTTTTTAGTAAACACAACCAAAATTTGTATATTTAAATTTGTTTATTGTAAATTTAAAACTCCCATGCAATTCTTATGAATTAGTTAACTGTTGCAGTTTGCTTGTTTATAGATATATTTTGATCAAACTTGGAAAATTAGTTATTTTATAGTAAGGTATTGATATATAAAAAAAAAAACACTATAATAACCTTCCTGTAGCAGCAAACCTAGGTACCTGTTGAACCTAATTTTATTTAGCCTATATACATTTTTTAATAAAACTTCCAATCAAATGGAAATTTGCTGAGTCTGCAGGTTTGCTGTGGCGGAGTTGTTTTACTCATAAAATAAGCTAAAATTTTTAGATTTTATAGTATCGCACTATTTAACTAAATAGGATAAATTATCATAATCCTTGAAAGTAACGGTCAATTTCCATGTGTTTCGCCTATTTTTGATAAATAGAAAAAACTAAATATACTTAATAACAAATAACTCAAAAACCGTTGGGTTTAGAGAAAGATGATAAATACAAAAAATGTGTATTTTTAGATGACCTACATTTTGTATAGTTAGCTTTTTCCTGTATCTCTAATAATAAAGTCACTATAGCGAAAAATACAGAAATATGCCGCCATTTTCCAATATGGCGGCCGTAGCACAGCTTCAATTTTAGGGGACTTTTAGTATGTTCAAAAGGAAGGTACACCCAACATCTGTACCAAATTCCCCGGTTGTGCTAATTTTTTTTGGGTCAAAACATATTTTTACTGTACTATTTCGCAGTTTCTATAACTATGTATTTACATCATCTCCAGCTGGCGCTAGTTTGATCATTTTGATCTTTTTTTAGATCCTCCACCCGTGTTGATAAACACATGATTGTGTTTTCGTTTTCGGCTTCACCTTCGTTCGTCGTCTGTTTTTTTTTCAGTGTTTGGTTGTTTTGTAGAAGGGTGGAGTGTTGACTGTTCACTGTTGGTCGTTCGTATTCCTGTTTGTTTGTCGTCTGTCAAAGATTTGAGTCAATATTTCCGTATATCTTTTTCAATTCAATAAACCCATACATTAGTTATATTATTTTTCTCTCAAAATGATGTCAATGAATATGTCGGCAATTGCATCAGCAGAGGCCCAATTTATTACGACAGGAAGTCGTCCAGCCAAAAAAGAAAAGCTTAGACCTTGTTGTGTTTGCAAGGAAACGAAAATGGCCAGAGATGAATGGTATGTAAGATTGTGGGATATTATGCTGATGATTAAATAATTACCACACAATAATCTACAATACACAGTAATAAACTTAAAGTACATAACAGTTTATGTTACGTAACTTAATTATATAACGTGGGGTCTTACAACCAAAATCATACATTGCTCTTTAGTTTCATCATAGGTAAAACATAATACTGTCTCATTCCCTTGGATCAGCTGGACAAAAATTGTATTAATGTAAAAAGGTTTAAAATACCTGTAGGCATAATACTAGTGTCTCGGGGGTCCTGGTCAGAAACCAATGAGAACCTCTTTTGCGAAGGAGTAGGGGAAGTGACGTCACTCTCTTCTCTTGATGGAACACCATTACCGCAACGATACGGTGTGCAACCATCAGTGGTTATTGTTAAGTTTCAACAAATCACCTACAATCGGTTTTTGTGGTGTAGTGGATAGAGAACTCGGCTGATGTCCATGAGGTAACCACCAGATCGAATCCCACCGGTGACACTAACTTCTTGTTAAAGATTTTGCTTGGAAAGCGATTACTTCTTTTGTTTACTGTACATCTTTTGTTAGCATTTGAGGCATATAATTTTATAGGCTCTAAGTTAATTAACAGAGCTATTATTCCGATTAGTTAACCTTCTTAGATTTTTATTTTATAACTTAGGCCTACATCTTTTTATATTATCAGCTAGTTTGGTTGGTTAGGTTAGGCTATAATTTTTTTAAATCAACATGAGGGGCTCTCTCGCAATCCCCCACTTCTTCGCTGAAGAGGTTCTCATAGTTTCTTGACCAGGCCCCTGAGACGCTAGTTAGGCCTAACAGCTTCCTGATTCTTCTGTTCCAATAAGTTATTGGACTAATACGCGTTTAATGCATGCACTTCAAAAATCTTCAACACACTGCCGTCGCAAGTTCGAGAGATGGGCATGAAAGAATTTTAAAAAATTGTACACAAGGCCCTCGTGAATAGGCCACTATATTCTCTGGGGGAGCTGAATGAGATACCACTCTTCCCTTCACAATAAAAACGTCCGCCATACCACCAGTAGTTGTAAATATTAGTTTTATTATAGTAACTTATTTAGAGAAATAAAGCAAGTCTTTACATTTTTAAAGACATGACGCGATCTATCTGACATTGTCAGTCAAGGATCGAGAATACAAGTATTCAAGTATTTACTGACCAAATGGTTATTGGCTTCAAGTTTGTTTCTAGATTTGTATGGTTGAGGTTTAACTTACTACCGGTACCTACCAGATATTTGGCTTCCGGTTAAATTTTTACAATTTGGCGGCTTTTGGAATGTGCCCTTTAAACATTTTCTTGGGCCGCCCTGTTTGACCTAGGCCACAGAGAAGTTAGGGCCTACGGAGGAAACATTCAATGGTACACTTAAGTCGTGTCTAGGACCAGTCGCTTGTGTCTACTTAAAATTCTATTGGTCGTCCCTTTCCGCTCTCCTCTCCCCCATCACCATCACGTACTAGCCTATAGCGCTAGGAAGAGCCTGTGCAGTACAGTACAACTGTTGCTGTACACAATAGCCATTCGGGCTCTTGCTGACTCGGTACTAGTATATTTGCGCCCCACCATTCCTGAGCTAAATAAAAGTGCATGGTTGTTCCAGAAGCATGTTTCTTCTGTATATCTTCTTCTCTGTGTCTGTAGATGCAAAATGTATCGCAGTTGTTACAGGATAATATATATACTCCGGTTCTCTTGGTAACATCATCACCTGTTCCTTTTAAATTTTAAAGATATATATAAGCTAGATAAGCCTATCTAATTTGTTAGAGGTCCTAAAAGCTTCTATTTTTCCATTTCTTTTATTATTGTTAGAGGAAATTGTTCACCGTACAATATTCTGTTGAAGCAAAATCACGTTTATTTTGTTGATTTATGAAAAAAAAACAGTTTTATTGTTAGTTCTGGTTCACTGTAGGGGTCGTTTGTTAGTCTATAGTTATAGTTCCCCCTTTCCAAAAATTAAGCCTAAGCTTATATCTAGACAGAGCGTAATGACTAAACTTGCAGAAACTTTTGGAACCTACAATTTAAACTTTCTCCGATACATGTGATTCAAAATCTTGTGGTATTTTTGTCTAATAGGCTATGTTATTTTAATTAACTTTGCCTAACTGGTACTAACACGGAAGCCCATAATATTATATTGATAAGTTTATTATTATTTCCAACTAACTGTCACTCAAGGCTGATAGTAACTTAGTGAGTGTATTAACTAACTGTTATCTGCCACATCTAAGCTTAATTTTAAAACAAGCGCAGTCCATATTCAAAAGTTGGATAACATTACTACTTTGTGCAGCATATGCCTTTTTGACAAAGGTTGACTAAGTTATATCATAGACTAACCAACACAAGTAGACTTCTCATCCCATTGTAAATTTTGAAGCACGTTTTTCGTGTCTAGTTCATGTACGTGACACAAAGGCACTAGTGTCGACGAAACTTTGTTTCTATTATTTTATGGTTAATTTCTTGATTTGTGCTTTACTGTTTGGTTATATAACTAGGGGACAAGTTATTGTTTATGATTAGACCGTATTATTTGGTTAAACGAGGTTTTAAATGGCTGTAATAACGGGAAACAAATTGTAAACAAAACACGACCTCTACAGAAAACCGTACAGAACTAACAATAAAATTGGCTTCAGCTGTTCCATAAGGATGGGAAATCTACTAAGGGAGTATTTTTTATCTATGGTTATATCCTCACCCATTAAAAATTTTATTTTTATAGCCTATGTTTGTTGCCAGAAAATCAGTGTTGCCATTTTTTGGAATTAAAAGACCTTAACATACATTCTAAACGGTTAGAGTCGTCTTAGTGAAAATCAGATTTTTCCCTTGTTTGATGGGTTTTAATGGTAAAATCGCAGTTAAAAAAAAACAAAACATAAAATATCTTTTAAACACCTACCGTAGATAAATTAGTACCCTGATGCCAAATTGTATTAAAATTAGACCGCAGGTGTAGTACGCATTCAGACACACTAACACACCTTATTACCAGTTCCTCATCTTTTTATTTTGCCCCATCGGAATTTGATGGTGTTATTGACATCATACACAAGTTAACTCTAACACAACTTTTATTAGGTTAAGGGGGCCCAAAACAGGTATTTCCTCCCAAAATTCAAACCATTTGACAAAAACATTTTTCTCCTTATATTATACTATGTATAGGGGGAGAAAGTAAAAACATTAAAACGATGAAAAGGAAGATTGCATTAGCAAGTACATTGTTAAAAGATTGTCAATATTTTATTTTTGTTTCAGTGTTCTCAAGAATGGACAAGCAGCATGTCAAAGCTACATAGAAGCCCACAAAGAATGTATGAGAAAGATGGGCTTTCATATCTGAAACATTGTTAACTTAAGTATTTGGATTAGGCTACATTACCACAATGTAACTTTGTTAAGTTAAAACTTAATAATGAGTATTATTTGTTTTGATGTTACATCATCCTTCCCGGTACCTATTAGGTCCTAATATCTGTTATGTTGTGATATTGTAGATTTGTAGTTTAAATTATAAGTTTTGTGTGATATTAAAACGTAATTTATTGAAGAGAGGATTCCTTTTTTTGACCCCGTGTAAAATGAACAAAGCAATTACCGTATGAATAATTTCAATGCCAGTGAAATAATAGAAATAGTAAACTTTATTACCTTGTTCCTTGTTTGGCAAATTTCTCCTTTAGGGAAGAGCTATCACCGTAGGTGGCACGAATAAGTCAAACTAGTGTACATGTTGCTCGAATTTGAGCAATTGTAAAATATTACAGGATTTGCAAACCAATAACAATCATACTTAGCTATCAACATTTCAACAAAAGCACACTTACCTTCCCTGTAGCAGCAAACCTAAGTACTCATTAAAATTAACTTAATAATGTTATTTAAATAGGAAAAAATTACCATTTTAAGGGAATAATTAATCTTTGAATTAATTAAGCCAGGTAAATGGAAATTCGCTTAGTCTGAAGGTTTGCTGCGGATACACAACTTTAATAACAGCAAAGTTTGAAGAATCTGAATTATTACTTATATCCATGAATTTATCTAACAATTATTTCCTGTAAAATATTATTACAGCATGTCAAAAATATTGAAACAAACTCGATCAACAAATGATGTTGAAAGAACTCCATACTAATGACATTAACATATAGTTTGACAGTTCCATTTAATCAATGTTAAATGTTTACATTCGGGCATAGACAAAAATGATTCCGGCGAATGACATATTTGATTAATGTTTATGATCCCTACCGTTTCTGTTCTAATAATCATACAGTATTTAATATGTTTGAACCAGCTGTGTGGAATTGTGAAATCAAAATTAATTTGACTGTTAGTTCTGCTTGTTTACATTTTTAAATTTTGTGGGTTTGTTCTTTGTTACCATGGATACCATCAATAAATATTTCACTCTTAATTTCTGACAACAGCTGGAGTTCCATAACAAATTTTGTTTCCCATGTTAATCTTATGGATAAATACGAAACTTTAAAGGGCCCCAGAGCCTCACTCTCTAATTATTTCCTTAAAAAGAAAGTTTCCTGCACAACTTCACGTTACGCTCTTTCCAATGACACCAAAAACATGTCAATTGGTTCAGTAGTTTCGGAGGAGTAATTGTCACAAAAAACCTGCTTGCGTATTAAATAAGTACGAGAGGTCGTCCAGTGGTCGAAACTCGACCAAAAATATGTAATGTAAACTTACTCACTTCTCTATTTTCCCCCCACACTGCAAATAAAACATGTGATTGGAGTTTCTTCCTTTTGTTTTGATTTTCTGTTTATATTTCGTTGTTATTTCGTCACCAGCATGGCAACGCATAAGATCCATGTTAATTTTTTCAAATCTTTAAACTAATTTTTTGTGCTTATCTTTGAGCCTATTTAAATTTATAAAGGGATTCTGCACACCTACAGGAAAATAGCTTTCTAACGGTATGCGTAGATTTTCCCTACGATGCACACGAGCTGAGAAAAAAGGTTTTAAAGAAACATGCTTGCCTATTAATATATAGATAGATAGATAGATGATGTAGTTTGCTTGCTAATGGATAGGCCTATATTTTAATAAGATTTGGCAAATCTATTTCATGCTAAGCAATGCGCATTTTTCAAAAGATGACTTTTTCCTTCCCTCAAGCAGCAAGCCACGAACACTTGAACAGAACGCATTGATCAAAAACAAATGACGTTGCTGGTTCGAATCCTAAACTAATGGCATTAACATATGATTTCAACAATTCCATTTAAGATTTAAGCAATGTTAAATATTGTTTATTTTTGGGCCAGCAACGCCATTTTTTATGCTTATGATCCATACCGGTTCTTTTCAAGTCTTCGTGTTAGTAGCTCAGTTGTTATTTAACCCTAATGTTATATAAATAGGGAATAGATCTGACATGTTTAAGAAAATATCTATTAAAGCTCCAATAAGACAAATAGAAATTCACTCTGCAGGATGTATTGTAATAATCCTTAGCCAAATAGCAGCTAAATGATAGCCGATGCAAATTATGGTACAAGAAATATAAAATGTTACAAGTGCCTGGTATGTAGTGTTTTCAGCATGTTGTATGGCATTTCAATTAAATTGTTGGCATTGTGTATGGATAAAAAGACAAAAATTATGGAATAATAAAAATATATTGTACAATAGTTTATGGAAACAGTTCTTGTGGCGAGGGTCCTCCAAAAATGTATTTCCATGAAGGAGGCTGAATTAGAGTCTTAGCTTTATCTTTGACAGTCGGTACCTGTGGAAACAAACAATTAATTAGAGAATGAGGACAGTAATCGTTATGATTGATAAGACCACATTAAAATTTTTAGATGGGAAAAAATCTAATTTTTAAAAGGTACAGAAACCAGCAAAAATATTGAGCGGGCAAACAATTTTTTTGCAATGGAGGATTTCTTTAAAATGGAATAACCACTGTGACCATTTATATGCTAAACTAGATAAAGCTATATTTAATCTCCGAATTATTAGAAGAATTTGCGATGACAAGACAGTGATGTTAGTATACCATGGTTATTTTTTATCAATTATGTCTTACAGTTTGTTGTGCTGGGCAAATTCACCTTCTAGCAAATATATCTTTAAACAACAAAAAAAGGCCACCAGAGTCATTGCTGGCATCAGCTCAAGAAAATCATGTAGATCCAGTTTTAAAAAATTCAAACTTTTGACCCTTCCTGCTCTTTATATTTTACACTTGGCGCTTTTCATTAAAAACAACCTTTATTTATTTGAAAACTGTAAAAAAACTCATAGTTATGAAACTAGACACAAACAACTTTTGGAAATTCCAAGCCACAGATTAGCTTTGTTTCACAATGGACCCTATTATCAATGCATACAAGTCTACAACAAATTGTCCTTTTATTTCACAGACCAGTCATTGAGCCTTAATAATTTTAAAAAGAAACTTTCAGAAAAACTGATTGCACTTTGTCCTTATGACATGAATTCATTTTTATCCTGTCAACTGTAATCTTAATATTTGTATGTATTTATTATGTGTAAACTATTTATAATGCATGATTTGTACTGACATGTCACATATTCATTGCTGATATTCAGCCTCTGTACTATGAATTTTTGTGATGAATAAATTGATTTGATTTGATTTGATTTGATAGTCACTGTAAATTTTGGTGCTTATCGAGTCATAAAATAGTAAATCAAAACCCATTGTTCTCAATACCCCCTTTAAATATCTCTAATGTTTTCAAGCCTAGTATTTTCATATAGGTATGCTAACTTAAACTGAAGCATTTGTTTGAAAATAATAAATTTAATAAATTAACTAACTTCTTGACCAGCATTTTACATATAATCAAATTGACTTAAAGTAAATAAAAATATGACTCATAACATGTGAAACATGTATTTATACTTAATACTCACTCACAAGACAGTAATAGCTATTTACCTCAAGTGTAGTAAGAGCGTTTTTACAACACCGCGCTCGTTGCATAATTTACCGAAGTGATGTAAACACGCTCTTGCGTAACATGTAACGTACAAGATTTTACCTGACCCGACAATATACAGGAGGTTACGAACAATATTTTTCATTATCCATTTCACTCATCTTCTAACAGTAACGTTCATTTACAAACAAAAGCTAGGTTAGGAAAATTTGTCAAAACATAACAATAAAATTCAAGCGCACAGCTGATTTCTAGCGTCGAACGTCGTTGGCTCCATAGAGGTATATTTTTTAAGTTAAGCACTCAATGTTATTTAAATGGGTTTCATTACATCACCGAGTGAGTTTTTTTTCAACTTTACATCACTCGAGAAGTAACGAAGTTATATACATCACGCTTGGGATAGGGAAGTTTAACATGGCGGGTTAGGTAAATAAATAAAAGATGGTAAGTTGTGATTGATTTTGGTGACACTTCAAGAATCTGCCAAATTATAATCATGCAACTCATCCACAGTGTTGGGGAAGCTACTTTTAAAATGTAGCTAGCTACAACTACTGCTACATTTCCAAAAAAAGTAGCTTAGCTACAGCCACAGCTACAGTTCCGAAAAAGTAGCTAGCTACAACTACAGCTACAATGAAATGTAGCTACAGCTACAATTTTAGCTACTTTTCCAAAGACGTTACTTTTTATTCCACGCACATTAGGTAAATGTAAAATTAATTGCAACTACATTTTTATTGAACAAACATTTAAACAAAAAATGTCAGTATTGTAGCATTGACTATATGCTATTGACTATATTGACAGGTATAGTCAATGATTGTATCTAACATTACTTGGAAAACAAATTATTCCTAGATTGTATTTAATTTGTTGGAATTATATACCCAACTTTACAACAACAAAACCAAATAGTTGGGTTTCCCATCATATTTAGTACTTATTAGCGAATTTCCCATATAGGGAATAAGCTATTACCGTAGTACTCATGGTAAGACCTGGACCCGGGACCGATTTTTTGTTTGTTTTGAGGTCCCTAGAGGCCAAAAACACCATCCGTTCAAATTCATATAGCCTATATATATATATATATAAATATATATATATATAATATTTATATGAAAAATAGGGCTACTATATATAAATAAAGATTAAACATTAATAAACTTAGTACCCAAGTAAAATTATTTATTAAAATATTTACTGACTATAGTTTCGGCTCTAAGGCCTTAAGTTACAGAGCCTAGCCTACTGAAATTGGAGTTTATTGCCTTTCTTTACTTTTAATGTTAAAAACGACATTGCTATAACTTTTAACCATAGTGATAAGTTACTTGTTCTATGAATAACACTTTTCAATGTCAAGAAATCGTCCTTTATTGTCATTATGCATAGGGAAAATTGTGCTTCAACCTAGTTGGTACAGAAAACAGTATTCAGCAACTTATCCTGAAATCGGCTTTTAATTTAAACATGTTGAAATTTGTAAAGTAAAAATAACATGTAGGCCTACTTGGCTATGTAACAAGTTGGCTATGGTAGGCTTGTTCTTGCAAGGACTAAACAGATATATTCCTAATAATTGAACGTGGAACTTTGTATTTGTCTTAAACCATAGCATAGCCTAGGAATAGTCCTATACAAGAGCTGTTAGCAGGAGCAAACTATGCTATTTATTTGTTCAATGTAAGTTTCATGTTATATGGAGATTTTTTCATTACAATTATCAATTAGTCTAGGCATATCTTAAATCACATCAGGAAACTTCCTCTTTGTTAATTTAGTAAACCTTTGAAAAATATTTGTAATCTAACCAAGGAAGGGCTTGTGGTGATGAACCACAATCAACAGCTGAAGCAAAGGTTGATAGACCAGCTTTCTCATTATTTTAAGGTTTAGTGTTAGTGATGGTTTCCATTAAAACCCAAGTTGAAACACTATCGATATAATAAAGAAACCAAATTGATTACTAATTTCCCTGACAATCACTTGCAAGCATTCAATAGCTTCTCTTGTCGTCATGTCACCGGTAACGTTTAAAAGTCGTCTGCATCTAGCGATTTTATTTTATCTGACAGTAATCATAGAGTAGAAAATTAAGGAAATGAGAGGCAAAAATGTGGATAACACTCATTTAATGGCCTCCATGTTCACACAACGTTGTTTGTATAGGGAATGAAACGGCTGCAACCAGCTGTATGAAGCCAGCCTAATTTTTTTGAAAATCTCAGTTTGAAAGGTTTCACGTAAGGTTGAGGTTATGATAAAAATCACTACCTCAAACAATGTTAATGTAGCGAGAAAAGTAGCTAAAAATCCGCTACAACTACTTTAAAAATGTAGCTAGCTACAGCTAAAGCTACAAAATCTTAAAAGTAGCGTAGCTACAGCTAACGCTACAAAAAAAGTAGCGCGCTACTGTAGCGTCGCTACTTGTAGCGCGCTACTTCCCAACACTGCTCATCCAGAGGAAATTGCTTGCTTGAAAATTTAGTCTACAAAGAGCTTGCCAATCAGATTATATGAAATATTCACGAAATTGATTGTTTGTAAAAGCCAATATAGCCATTAGAAGAAGAAAAACCTAGGCCTAATGTTTCATAACAAATAAAACCCAAATGTAATTTCAGTTACAATAATATATTACTCAAGAATAACAAAAATTAAACAAGAACATTTCTTTACCCAACTTTAAACTTCATGAGGTTTAGGCTACATATTACTAGAGCAATTTGTTAGCTAAAGATTTAGGGGTGGAACTGATTTTATTGTTATTTTATTTTATTGTTTCGATGATTAAACTACCTATTATATAACAGATAATTATTTACACCATAGAAAATGTTATTTTAAATAGACGATGAAGATTTAACCTTATTTTTCAAAACAAGCTGACTCTCGTTGTAATCTTACTCGGTTTTACTTATCCTTCATTAGCATTATATTATTTGCCAAACAGATAATATTGTAGGCCTATTGTGTTCCGTATTCAAGCATCTACGCAACCAGGTGAATCCAGACTTCATTCATATTTTGTTCTGACCCTTGCCCTGTCACGTGATGTCTGGCAATTTCCCCCATTCCCCATGTACTCTTCAACCCGGCATCATGTTCTCGCCATTTTCCCTAGTTTTTTATTATAATATTCCCCTACTCTATTTGTGGCATATAAATTGAACTTATATATTATCGTATGTTTATCTTATGTATTTATTTGTGACACACCTAACAAAAAAGTGAACTGAATAGTTAAAAACTGTATTCAAACTGTTCTTGGTGCAACTACCGGTCGCGTACGCGAAAGCTGGCCAGCAAACATCAAGTGCGTCAACGGTCTACTAGACATCACTTCAGTAAAAAGGAAGGTACCAAATCACATTTCTTCCTATTTAAAAGTTTATTATTTTGTGCTCACAGTGTGTCTCTAAAGCTGATCTTAACATAATATATCTCACATCCCTCATTTTTTATACAGTCCACCATATCGAAGTTTACCCCCCATTCGCTGGTCCTGTCGACCCGGATTACATTTGCCAATTAAAATATAATTGATACAGTACAATAATTTATTTCTCAAATGAATGTTTATGATCAGTGTCACATCCCTAACTGGTAATATTTTGTCTTGTGGAACATTATTACGAACAATTTTAATGTCCATTCCTGTTTCATACCAGACAATTATTTTCATGTTCAATTTTGTCACTGCCACCTAAATCACGTCAAGTTAGGCCTACCTAGTTTGTCTTGAAATAAATCAAGCTTAGAACATTTTTCAGGATTGAATATTTATTCACATCTCATCCATAAA